TGTTAGGTTGTTTTGAGTTAGTTACAAGTGAGCTATAAGTAGCAGGTGTAGCTAAGGTCTAAAACAAGTCATTGCTTAATAAAACGTATCTTGTTTTCTTGCTTTTCTCTAGTTTTGCATCACTGCAATACCTAATATGGTATCATTCGTCGGTTGTTCCTGAGGCTTCTTCCTCATACTGTGCCATTCTTGTGATTCATGGAATTCATTGATGGTAAATCCTTCGCAAACAAGAAGGTTAACATCATTCTTGATGAATCAAATTTTTTACTTTGGAAGCAACATGTCTTGTTGACTATTGGCAGTCATCGACTAGAACGCCTGCTAACTGGAGCTGCTTTTCCTCCTTCTGCTACAATTGTGGATGAGCATGGTGTTGGGATTTACTGAAGCTCGAATCGACAACCGAAAGGGTTCGCAAGAGGGGTCGAGTCAATTTTTGTGTTTAGAGATCAAGGAGATTTAAAGATAGAGAATTGCACAGCGATTTATAGTGGTTCGACTTCTCAACCAAGTCTACATCCACTACCTTAACTCCTCGCCAAGGATTTTCCAACAAATTCACTAATTTGTTCTTTCTTTTTACATGACAAAGAGATAGCCTTTATAAACTCCCTAGTTTTCACGAGCTAAACTAGAACCTTTTCCCTAGCTTTTAGCAGGCTTAGCTAGAACCAAAACCCCTTTACAATGAAAGGAAATGTAAACAAGAAAACCTATCTAAGGTAGGTGTTTACAAGAATTAAGCTCACAAGAACATAAATATTTACAAGAGAAAAGAAATATGAAATAAGAATGAAAAACTTTTCTCTTGTGTTTAATTGCTTGGATAGTTGTTCTCTATCTTCTTCAAGTGTATTGAACATGTATTTATAAGTTGGAATGAGTTTGAAGTCGTATATAGCCGTTGGGGATGTTTTGGAGCCGTTGGAGATTCATTTTCTGCAAAATAAAACTGCCCAGAACAAGTAGTATCGGTACTCCTTCAATGAGTATCGGTACTACCTTTGTAATATTTGAATTTTATGACCGTTGAGCTTGAAATTACTATAGCAGTATCGATACTACGTAGCAGTATCGATACCCATTTTGCAATATGGAAATTTTGAACATCAGTACTGTTCATACAGTATTGGTACTATTTATACAATATTAATACTATTCATACAATACAGTACTATTCATAAAACCATTTTTGTGCTCATTCCAAATTAAATGGAATTTGAATTATTTTTGAAAACTTTGAATCAATTCAATTCAAGTCCAAAAATATTTTGCCATAAATTGTTATATCAAAATATAGTTCAACACATTGTGATTCGGTGCCAAATGAGCTGCATGAAGAATATGTGGCACAAGACAGTGCATTGGCGTCTTGGCTGCTGTCCACGATCAGCCTTAATCTGTTGTCCCAATTTGTTAGAGCGGAGACGGTAGCGGCGGTCTGGAGCACGGTGTTGTAGTTTTTTTCCAATCGATCCACCACAGCGGTTATTAGTTTTCACTACAAACTTCAGTCTCTCAAGAAAGGAAGTGATAGCATGCATGTGTATCACCCGCATCAAAGAAGTGTGTGATGCATTGGATTCGTGTGATAGTGCAATTCCTCAGGCTGAGCACGTTGCAAGCATATTGAAAGGTCTTCCCCAAGAGTACCAACCGTATATTGCATTCATAATTACCATGAAAGATGCTTTGTCGCTTGATAAGATATGCTCGATGCTTATCGATGTAAAAACTCAACTGGCTGGGTTTGACTCTCAAGAAGATTCCCTTCCAATGACTGCTCATATAGTTTAGTCAAATTCTGCTTTGAAACCTGTGGTTCATGGAGTTCATGATCGATCGTATGGACGATCAGGGTCTAGTGTTGGGGGTAGATTTGGAGGTCGTAGACGTGTTTGACCTCGTGTTCAGTGTCAATTGTGTGGGAGGAATGGACATTTGGTTGTTGACTACTGGTACAGGTTCGATCAAACATTCACTGGAAGATCCACTGATCGTGTTGTATCACGTGGTGACTCAGGATCTGTTAACTATTCTAGCTTGGAGTTTTCTTCGAGTGGTGTGGATGAATGTGCATGTTGTACAAAGGCTCTTATGCTATTCCTCACAACCACAGAACCATGTTGCCACCAGCACAAGGGATCACTGGGTGGTTGACTATGGGGCTATATATCATGTAACCTCTGATTCGACCAAGGTTCTTAATCAAAAGGACTTCTCAGGACCAAATAAACCTGTTGTTGGTAATGGAGGCTCACTTCCTATTCGAGCCATTGGTAACACTGTTTTTAGTTCTTCTTCTCAAGCATTGATATTGAATGATCTACTTCATGTCCCTAAGATAACTAAAAATCTTCTCTCGATCTTGAAGCTTGCTAGGGACAATAGGGTATATTTCGAGTTTCATGCCTCGTCTTGCTGTGTTCGTGATGAAGATACTGGTGAGGTGTTGCTGCAAGGACAAGAGAATGATGAGCTTCACTTGTTTCGAGTTGATTGTATTAATAATACAAGAGCTTGTTTTGAAGCTAATAATGGTGTTGCTTCACATAAGTTGTATGATCTGTGGCATAGACGCCTTGGGCATCCTGTACATGGAACCCTTGAGCAAATATGCAAGTTGATTGATGTAAATGTTGAACAAGAAGTTAATGGAATTTGTGTTGCTTGTCATATGGGAAAGAGTCATAAACTCCCCTTTTCTGACTCAGCTACAGTGTATGAATCACTTTTCCAGCTTATATTTACTGACTTATGGGGACCAGCTCCTGTTGCTTCAAATGGCTATAGGTATTATGTTAGCTTTTTAGATGCGTGTACTCGACATACATGGTTGTATCTCCTTAAAGATAAGTCTCAAGCTGCTCATGCATTTCAACTCTTCCAGCAGCTTGTGCTAACACAATTTGGGTTGAAAATTTTGGATGTTCAAAGCAATTGGGGAGGTGAGTATCGAAGGTTGTCTCGTTCACTTACTGAAGCTGGCATTGTGCATCGGGTTACATGTCCACACACGTCAAAACAAAACGGTGTTGTAGAGCGTAAACACCGACATGTAGTTGAACTTGTACTAGTTATTCTCGCGCAGGCCTCCATGCCTATTAGCTACTGGTCATACGCAATGGTTATGGCTGTACATTTGATTAATTGACTTCCCTCGAAAGTTTTAACTGACATGTCTCCTTTTGAGTGTATGTTCAGTAAAACACCTGATTATAGCTCACTCAAGGTGTTTGGTTGTCGGTGTTTTCCTCACTTGTGTCCTTTCAACAATCATAAGTTGAATTTTCAATTGCAGCCATGCACGTTCTTGGGTGTTAGTCCTCAGCACAAAGGGTTTCTTTGTTTAACACCTGATAAGCGGGTCATTGTCTCTCGCCATGTGAGGTTTGATGAGTGACATTTTCTTTTTGCTAGTGATAGACATGTTAGTCAGACAACAACTAGTTCGTAATTTAGTAGATCAATTAACATAGTTATGGATGTTTCCAAGCTGCGTACTGAGGATGTTCATGTGCCAAATGTTGTTGAGCTGCCGATTGGTTCTATTTTTTTTCTTGTTTCTCTTGCTCTTTGGGCTTTGTTGTCTTTTTTGGGTTATTTTTTAACTACATTGGTATTTATGTTTTAGCATATTTTCTATGTTTGGTGCTCGATGAAGTTCCCACAAAGATGAATTCCAAGCTTAGACGATTGATTTGAGCTTCAATATCTAATACCGCATGGATCAATTAATTGAAATTTTAATCTCGTGGCATTTTATTATTATGTTTATAATAATAATACAAACTGGAATCTATAAGATAATATGAAAGAATTATAGAGTGACATTAGAAACCAATCCATATTTATATAAATTAATTTTATATATAGTTTCTATAAATATTTGAATATATTTATAATAAAATTTTATAAAACATATTTTAAAATGAATTTATTTATTCATATATTTAATAAAAATGTTTAAACTAATTAAAAATAATTTTAATATTTTAATAAATTATTTTATTATTTAGTCTATATTTATTTTTATAATATATAAATTAAAGTACTTTTTTAAATATAATATAACAATGTGTGATAAATTTCTATAAATTAAAATGTATATTCCTATTTGGTTATTTCAGACAATATTTATTATCTATTTATTTTTAAATTTAATATAAAATAATTATAAAATATTATCTTGTTAAATATGGTTAATGAATATTATTAAGATATTAATTAAAGAAAATAGTGCCAAATTTAGGCGAAATTGGCCAAATAATCCAGGTGGATTATTTAGCCCAATAGGCCACCTAAACTTTTAATTTGGGATATACGGCAAATGTAACATTGCCCATGGAACTCGTCACGTCGGGGTGACGAGTTCCATGGGATATAATTTTTTAAAGGATCGTGTCAAATGGGTCCCGCAACCCGAATAATTTTAATATATCCTCCGAGATTCGTCATTTTCGCGTGACGAGTTCCAATAAAAAATATTTTTTAAATTTTTAAAAGAAAAGTAAAAAAAAAGTATATTTTAATGCGCATGGAAATCGTCATGCCGGTGTGACGAGTTCCAACGGGTATAAATTTGAATTTTTTGGTTGTTGTTCAATAATCAATTTTTTTTAAATTTCTATGGAACTCGTCACGCCGATGTGATGAGTTCCAACGGAAAAAAAATTGTCTTCTCTTTAAGTTGTGCACATAATCTTCAATCTCTTACATAACACACTCCTTTCATATCTTACACAACAAACTCTTTTCATCTAACCAAAAATATTTCAAACAATGAGCAACAAATTCTTCATAGTTGTTCATTATAATGGCGTAATTTTACAAACTGGTGTTGGTGTTGTGTTTAAGTCACACATGCCCATCAATATGATTTTCCCTGTAGATGTATCTCATCGCCAAATGAAGTAAAAAATTGAGATAAAACTTGGAGCTTATGTTTCATGTTTAAGTTATCGGCACCTGATCTCCTCAAATTCAATGACATATGAAAAAGTTCAGCTTGCTGATGATGATGATGTTGCTGTTATGGTTGGACTTCATCAATCATCAAATAATAATATGGTGGAGATTACGTCGAAACCAGTAATGCAATTGATATTCCAACGTCATCAGTACCAGATCGAAGAATAGAAGAAGCAGTACCCTCTGAACCACATGCAAGTTATGGAGATGATAACCTTGTTGGACAGTTCAGTGAAAGCCTTGTTGAATTTAGCGAGGATGATGAAGATATTGTTCAGTTGACAGACGATGACGACACACCATTAGTTGATGAGTCCGATTTTTTTGAGGCTACTTCAAAGGGACAAGGTTTGGGTGTTGAGGGTGATGTATAGGAGGCATCTTTTTCACGATGTCAAAGATTGCAGAATGCTCAAATGTTTGGGCAAGGACAAACCTCAACATGAAATATCTCACCATGATTTGCCTCGGTCATGCAGTTGCAATGCATGACATTAACTACGATACTATATGGAATCCTGAAATGTTTGATATGCCAGAGTTATGTGCTGCCCACTGGGGTTCTTCAGTCGAGCGATTATCTGAGTTGACTATTGGGTCTCAATTTGAAACAAAAAAAAAGAGGCACAACTAGTAATCAATGAGAACTACGTCAAAGCTCATCTTCAATTCTATGTCGCGGAGTCGGATCAAAAGACTTATTTCGTAAGGTGTATATACCATGACGTTGGCTGTAAATGGAGGATACGAGCATCATACTTACAACGGAAGATGTTGTGGGAAGTCACAAGGTTCAATGCAGAGCACGCATGTACAATGACCTCCTTGACACAAGACCACAAGCATTTAGATTCGGATGTCATATGCTCTTATGTGAAACTGTTGGTGGAAAAAAAATCCAAGAGTGCCCGCTTCTGTGTTAGTGGCATCTATTCGAAGTACATTTGGTTATATTCCAACTTATTACAAGGCATGGATGGCTAAACAGAAATCAATGACCTTGTTGTATGGTGATTGGGATCAGTCATATAATGAGCTACCACGTCTGCTGCAAGCAATGAAATTTTTCATCCTTGGAACCATTGTTACGTACTATACTTATCATGTAGTCACGCTTGAGGGAGACATTATCCCCGGGAAGAGAATTTTTGATGGCTTGTTCTGGGCGTTTAAGCAGCTATAGATTTTGCAAATTCAAGTCGGTGACACTTTTCTGTATGGGCTCTACAGACACGTCTTGATGATAGCCGTTGCACAAGATGGAGACAAAAATATTTTCCCCATTACCTTCATCGTTGTTAAAAATGAATCGGAGGACACTTGGAATTTCTTTCTCTCTAACTTGTGTTCCCATGTTGTCACTCGAGATTTGGTTTACATGATCTCAGATTGGTCACTTGGGTTGTTAAGCACAAATTTTTGACCCGAAAATAGATGGACGCCTCCACATGCATATCATGCATATTGTATACGTCATATCGCATCGAATGCAATGAAGAGGTTTAAGCAGAAAAATATCAAAAAAGAGATTATCAACATGGGTAAGTACCTTAGCATTTGTCATTAATTATTTTTTCTTCATTAATGTTTTTTTCAATAACATTTAATTTACTGCTTTTTAGGGTATGCTTTACTCCAACCAAACTTCCGTGCACGGCTTGAAATTTTGAGAAGATACGGAGATGATTTGTATGAGTTCGCAGTTGAAATCCCTAGGGATAGATGGTCACAAACATATGATGTTGAAGCTCGACGTTACGACCATATGACTACCAACCTTGCTGAATGTATCAACTCAGTGTTGAAAGGGACTCGACATCTCCTTATAGCAAGTATTGTTAAGGAGACTTACTTTACGTTGGGTAAAGTATGGACAGAAAAATGTACACAAATTGATGCCACGATCAGCGATGGGAGAAATATGAAAAAAATCAAACATATGTGACGTCAATGTTTGTCCACAATTTTGCCATACTTGATTATGATTTCGTCGTCACACTAGCGTGACAAGTTTCATTGAAATTTTTAAAAATGTTCGATCGTTGAATAATGGTCAATCTAATGATCAAAAAATTCAAATTTATATCCGTTAAAACTCGTCAATCACACCAGCGTGACGAGTTTCATGAGTCCCAAAGGGTATATTAAAATTATTCGAGATGCGAGATCCACCTGATACCGCTCATAAAAAAATTATAACCCATGAAACTCGTCATCACGGATTGACTGTATTTATCCCGCCTCAAATTTACAGTCATTGTTGCGCCTGGATTATTTGGCTCGCGCGAGTAGACAAATTGGATCTTTGCCCACAATTTCTTCTGTATTTTCTTAGGGGGTTTCATCTCTTTTCCTTTGAATGGGTTTTCCAAATTCAAGCGTTTGTTTTAATGTTTGTTGCAGCTTCTTGACCCTCTACTTCTCCCAACCCCACCGTCGCAGGCTGAGCTTACCACCCTTCAATGTCTCTCTTCCCGTCCCCCGCTGTTGATCAATTCCCCAACGGCTACGATCATTGCCTTTCCTCCAAGCATGCTCTTGCACTCGGCGACGAGCAAGACGACGAGGCTCCCTTAGTTCTCTTCAGAATGCGAAAAGACGATCCCCGCCATCATATCCACCACCCAATAACGGCTGTTCATCCCTCGTCCAAGGCGCCGGTTTTCTCCTTCCCCGCTTCCCAGGTTGATTCCCACCCTTCTTCTTCTGCCAGCTATTCATCCACTCGCCTCCAATTCTTCATCTGAATGTTCTCTGAGGGCAACACCATGGTGGTCACGGCTAGTCCGGAGGACACGGTTAAATCCCTTCACGAACGGATTTATGTGATTATGGGTGTCCCGGTCAAGGAACAACGGTTAATCTATCGCGGGAAACAGCTACAACTGGAGCAATCCTTAGCGGATTATGCCATCCAAAATGATGCCAGCCTCCAACTCGTAGGTCGTATGCGATCCACTGACTACCCTCAAACCTAGCAGGTCATGGACGACATGGTTTCTCTTATTTTTCGCCTTTGCCGAGGAGAAATGGTACATTCCCCATCCAAGAGGATCAAAGATTGCTTGAACAAATTCTTCACAATTACTCCAAAAGACAACAACGACGCCGCTCATTCTCACTTGCTGATTTTTATGGCATCTTCAGCTCATGCCGCTTTGGGAATGCTTTATATGTCTCCTGTTAGCGGTAATAAGTAGTGTACTGATAGTTCAATAAGACATTTCTGAACTTCATGTAGGAGTGCCTTATCAAAAGAGCTGCCTTGTTATTGTACACCATTAGTGTTAGAGTTTTGCAGTTTACTTCGAAATGTTGTTAATGAGGATAGTTTGTATGCTTCTTGCCGGAGTACAGTGGGCACGTTGCTTGAAAGTTTTAGCAGTTCTCTGGCTTTACTGCTGCCGAAGATTGAAGGATTGATTACCATGAAGGATGTTTTCCCCTTTATTAGTGAGTTGGCTGGTCATTTAATTGCGGAGTTGGATTCTAGTTTAGATTCTACCACTAGTGGTGGACCATTATCAAGTGATGTCCGGGATTTCTCAACATTCTTGAGCCCTTTGAGGTCCATTTTTGAACAATTGGGTTCCCAAATTCCAGTATCAGTTGATTGGAAAAAGAAGGATTACTGCCATCCTCAGGAGATAGAGTTTCTTCATGCTATATTTAATGATTTGTTGTTTAAAATGGAAAAATGCCTTATCAGAGTGGAGGAAAGATTTGCAGCAAGAGAAAGCGGTGAAGATGATTTTTTTTCATTTAGGGTGGTCTCAATATCTTGCCATTTTGAAGGAACTGAATGGCATCTCCAAACTTTATCAGGGTGCTGAAGAACAATTTGGATGGTTTTGAGGAACCGTAAGTCCTCATTGTGTGCCTTGATAATTAGATCCACCAGGCGAAATGATGATCATCAAAGGCTACTTGAGCACAAAGATGTCACTGATTTTTGAATCCAGGAGGCATTTAGCTATGATGATGTTTCCTGAGGTAAAAGAAGACTACGAGGACTTGCATGAGATGCTGATTGACAGGTCTCACTTATTGGCAGAATCATTTGAATAAATTTCTCATGTGGACCCTGAATCACTTCATGCTGGTCTATTCATGGAATTCAAAAATGATGAAGCCACTGGCCCTGGTGTACTGAGGGGGTGGTTTTTCTTGGTATGCCAGGCTATATTCAATCCAGAGAATGCCCTTTTTGTGCCGTGCACAAATGATCGTAGAAGATTTTTTCCTAATCCTGGTAAGCTTCCTCTAAAATTCTGAACCTACTTTCTGTTAGTGAAGACTTCTTGCTGCTCTCTTTTTTCTTTCATTTCTCTTTGTTGGTGTTCTCTTGTTTGTTTGTAAACATGGATTGAGGCAGTAAAAAGGTAGAATTCTTGATGCCTGCCTTTACAACTTGTACTGGTTATACTGTGTTATGTGCAACTCAGTCTATGTCAAATTTAAAGCAAAAGAACTGGCTCATGTCAATTGTCAAATAACATGTTTGAAAGAAAGAAATAGTGCATCAGGATTTGCTTAACAGAATGTGAAAACAAGTGTTTTATAGTTAATAGATTTATAGTGTACTTTGTCGATATCCTTGATGACATAAAGAGATATTCTCATAGTCCTATTAAGTGTTGAGTTCAAAGCATGCCTGATTTGTTCACCTATCCCCCCCCCCAAGAAAAAGAAAAGAAAAGAAATCTTCCTTTACTAACTTTTAGCAAGTGAGACCCATGATTTATTTCCGAACTTCATTGTTTCTCGTGTAGAGCTGGTTCTTCTGCTCTGACCCTCAAGTATAAAATTCCTTTGATCAGCCATTCAAGGGTTCTAGATCTATAGTTTTCATTGGTTTTGGGCTGCATTACAACTAGTTGTTTCATTTCCAACCCAAGGATGATATTCTATGTAAACAAAATGAGGTTTTTTATTTGACTTCACTGTTGTAAGTTTTTTGTTGTGCTGTTCCTCTAATATTGGTCTATCTCTGCGATTTTACCCCAAATGTTTAGTACGTGGTTATACAAGATGTGTGTG